TGGAGAATTGCACCATGGAAATTGATTGCGGTGTTTGTGGCATTACCTAATTTGCATAATTAGTTTAGTGAATCAGGCACTGAAGAGCATGTGCAAATAAGCAACAGAAACTCAATGCTATTTAATATATATGACATTTTAGTGTGTATTATCTATTGTATCTATCTGTTTCAGCATTGATTTGTGTTAGTCAGTATCGTCTACAGTAGTATTCCAAACCTTACATGGTTCTCTCTCTCTCTTTCTTTTTTTTGCAGTTTGGCCTAATAAAACCCTTCCCAAAGAGTGGAGAACCTGTCAGCGAATTATGAATGATAAACAAGATGACCTCCTCCCTGATGCAGCAGACGATGAGAGGTCCTAGGTGGAATCGGGCCCTGTCCGACCCATTGTTTGTGCTGTCGCTGGCCCTGCAGCTTCTGGTGGTGGCTGGCCTGGTGCGAGCACAGACATGCCCCTCTGTCTGCTCTTGTAGCAACCAGTTCAGCAAGGTCATCTGTACGCGGCGTGGCCTTCGAGATGTACCCGATGGTATTTCCACCAACACAAGGTACCTGAACCTTCAGGAGAACCTCATCCAGGTGATCAAGGTTGACAGCTTCAAGCATCTAAGGCACCTGGAGATCCTGCAGCTCAGCAAGAACCACATCCGCAACATTGAAATCGGAGCTTTCAATGGGCTGGCCAACCTCAACACTCTAGAGCTGTTCGATAATCGTCTAACCACAATCCCCAATGGGGCTTTCGAGTACCTGTCCAAACTTAAAGAGCTTTGGTTGAGGAATAATCCTATCGAGAGTATACCCTCTTATGCCTTCAACCGCGTAACATCGCTACGAAGGCTGGACTTGGGTGAGCTGAAAAGGCTCTCGTATATCTCAGAAGGTGCCTTTGAAGGCCTCAGCAACCTGCGGTACCTGAACCTGGGCATGTGCAACTTGAAGGAGATCCCCAACCTCATTCCTCTTGTCCGTTTGGATGAGTTGGAGATGTCAGGAAACCAGCTGTCTGTAATTAGGCCTGGGTCTTTCAAAGGCCTCGTCCACTTACAAAAACTGTGGATGATGCATGCGCAGATCCAGACGATTGAGAGAAATGCCTTTGATGATCTTCAGTCCCTCGTGGAGCTCAATTTGGCCCATAATAACCTTACCCTCCTACCCCATGACCTCTTCACCCCACTACACCACTTGGAGAGGGTGCACTTGCATCACAACCCCTGGAACTGCAACTGTGACATCCTCTGGCTCAGTTGGTGGCTAAAGGAAATGGTACCGGCCAATACCAGTTGCTGTGCCCGCTGTGCATCACCTACCAGCCACAAAGGGCGCTACATTGGCGAACTCGACCAGAACTATTTCCATTGTTATGCACCGGTGATCGTGGAGCCACCAGCAGACCTGAACGTGACTGAGGGCATGGCAGCAGAACTAAAATGTAGAGCGAATTCTTTGACCTCAGTCAGCTGGATCACGCCCAATGGGTCCCTCATGACGCACGGGGCCTACAAGATACGCATTTCCGTGCTCAATGATGGGACTTTAAACTTTACCAACGTCACAATGCAGGACACGGGAATGTACACTTGTATGGTGAGCAACTCTGCAGGCAACACGACAGCCTCGGCTACACTCAACGTGTCCTTGACAGAGAACAGCAGCTTCAGTTACTTCACTACAGTTACTGTGGAGACCACAGAAGCGACACATGATGAGGGCCACCCTACGGTACAGCAGAAGGGTGGCCCTACTCCTTCTTCTGGAATTTGGGAGACCTTACCACCTTCCTTCACCACCACCACCACCACAACCACAACAACAGCACGGACACAACTGTCCACCAAGGCCACCGACAAGACCTATACCATCCCTGTCACAGCCCTGATTGACGGCTCCCTTAACACCTTGGATGAGGTCATGAAGACCACAAAGATCATTATAGGTTGCTTTGTGGCCATCACCCTGATGGCGGCCGTCATGCTGATCATATTTTATAAAATGCGCAAACAGCATCACCAGCAGAACCACCACGCACCGACGCGAACCATCGAGATTATCAACGTGGACGAGGATTGTGTAACGGGTGGACCTACCATGGAGGGCCACCTCACCCTCCCCCCACTGGAGCATGAGCACGTGAATCACTACAACGCCTACAAGACTGCGTACAACCATGCCTCCACCATCAATTCTATACACAGCTCTGTCCACGAACCTTTACTAATTCGGGCCAGCTCAAAAGACAATGTACAAGAAACCCAGATCTGAACTGCTTTTCATAATGGGGATTAAACAAAGAAAAAAAAAAGACTTCTAAAACTCTTAAGGAACAGTAAGTGACATATCGATTTTGAAGATTGTCGAAAACAAAGACACAGTAGCCCGATGCAAGACGTATGAGAAGGATGTGGACAGGTAGACAAGGACATTGGGAGTTGAGTGTACGTCAACAGTTTCAAAAGTGTCTTTGCATAACAGAAGTTATTTATTTAAGGAAAATAACTATTGTGGTTTAATCAAGAAAAGATGTAATCTGCAATTATTTTTCCAGCAATTATTTCTCCATGTTTTTTTTATGTTATTTTAAGGGTTGTTGGTTTACTAATATGCTTTTAAACTCTGTTTAAATCTATTGCTCTGTATGTGAGGACCCACGTCATTTGCAGATTAATCTGAAACTTTCCATCTTTCTGAAATCTCAAGATTCACATTTAATGGTGATACTTTTAAAATCTTAGGTTACAGACTGTCATATTAGAAAACGTCCACACCATAATTGTTTAAATTGATCATGTTGATTCTAAAGGATTAATTTATTGACGTCCCCTTAATTAGTGATTTTTGGCTGTCACGTTATTCAGTTGTCCTTGATGAAAAAGAGGCTCTTTAAACTATATTGGTCCGTCTGTTAGCTGGTTTTAGAGGTGTTTTGGGCACTTTTCAACTGGACAGACTGGAAGACAAGCTTTTAAACAGCTAATTTTTCAACAGGGATGGCTGCTACACATTACATGCAGATGTATGCCTGGCTTCTCCACTCTAAAATTTAGAACAAGGAGCCCTGGAAACGTGTCCCAATTAAAACCGGGCCAAATGTCAGGAACACATATCTATTTGATGCAAGCAGGCAATTTCAAATCATTTCTGTGCTCGGGCCAGAAGATTTATGGATTAAGTTAGCGTTTGGAGGCATCCCACTTGACCTTAAATACATGTTAAGGCATCACATGCTTAAAATAAGCTTTATTTAAGTCCTTAAACTGTTTTCTGCATTTTCTTTCTCATTGCGTACAACAACTTGGGTCCCTGTGGCAGTTCATCCTTGACACCCAACTAAAGTTTCCCAATAATCAGATGCAGCACACACATTCTATGCCTAATTCTATATGGGCAGGGGGTTGAAGATTGTAGGCCTTTATTAGAAGTGGAAAAAGCATAAAGCTGGTACTGACGTAGCACCATTTCCATTTCAATCCACTTGTCTTGGTGCTTTCCATGGATACAGTTGAATGAAATCATTCTGGAATGGTCTAAAAGCCAGACACAGAACTCTAAATAAGTGGGCAAAGTCAGTGCGGCTCAGATCTAAGGCTTCCAAAGATGCCTCAGGTGTGTCTTTATAGATTCTGTGAACCGATTATGTTTTTTTCCCTCTCACTAGTTCTTTTTTTCTTGAATTCTTTCATATTCTATCTTCCATCATTCTGCACTGTCAATCTTTTCAGGCAGTTATGCAATTCTTTTTAAACTTTTAAATCATATTCAGTCACTTTAGTTTATTTTCGGTACAGACTGAGGATGATACATCCATCTTCGTCTTTACACACACAGTAGCCTTTGGCTGCAGGGGGAATGACTTGACATTATGAATTAATTTATGAAATCAGAATGGACGGAGACGGTCACTATAGCAACCAATGACCTTGGACAGGTTGGGAGGTGCCGGGGCAGGGGGTAGACGATAGACACTGGCTTGACGCTTTAAATGTATTCAGAGTCAAATGGGAGAGCGAGGCTGGGTGAAAGAGCCAAAGTGGACTCATTTAAAGTGCATAATTTAATCTATAAAGCAATCTAGAGGTCTATAGGTAATTTGAATTAACCCAATAAACCTGTGACATTTTATTCAGATCCGTAGCGTTTCGTTTTTGGCCCTTCATAATTCATGCAAAGCGCACAGGGGACTGACAAGGGGATTTTTCTCTTGCGTTTCTGGTCTTAATACAGATGCCGACTGATACCATGTGGCATTCGGTGAACTTTTCCGTATTGTATTTTGATCACACAGCAGATGCACTCTGATTTTAAAAGATCTAATGCAATTATGCTTGTCAGCTTTGCTATTTCAGATCATTACGAAAAAGTTTTTGAGCGTACCTCCTGCCCACTAGAAGCAAAGGCCATCTGGTACATTTTCTATTCAAGATATCAAAGCGTGCAAAAAAAGACTGTTCTTCATCTGAATATGCTGCTCTTTCGAATTTTAATTCATTTCCTTGTACTTCTGAATTTAATTTGCATTGTCACTGAAATTGATGTCAATCTCAACATAAAGTGAATTTTTTTTTTTTATCATCAATGGAGTTTAGCACAAAAGTAAACCAAGTCATTGGGTTTTCAGTTGCATTTTATTTATTTTAAGGAATAGAATCATTGTCTTAAATTGTCATAATTTTTGGAAAAGGTCTTTGTCATTTTTTTATAATATGATATTTTTTTATTATCATTTTTGTTTTTTGGCTTATTGTGATTTTCTTTTTCTGTATGTTTGT